ATGGAGAGTCCTCAAAATAATAAAAAGAGAAATTCCATTCTCAAGATAACCAAAGTGATTACAAATATTTCTTTAAATGAGGATGGCAATATTACCTGTAGCCAGTACAACCTGGCCCTTAAACTCCTCTGATGGGGCGACTGCTTAAATTCAACCTGAATTCCTGATAGAAAATCTCGTTTGATAGGGCACCGAATAGGAAGACGCATCTCCATGGGAACTTTATCAAAATTGACCTGGAAAAAAAGCACATTTTTCATGATGAGTTGGTATTAGCAGAGTGCCTCATTTTAGGCATCCATGTATTGATGAAACCAATGAGAAGGATATCTTTATCTCTGCATCTCACTGAAAGATCTTAAGGTCATCTACAACTGAAACCTCTGAAGCAGAATCGCTTTTCTAAGAAACTTACTAGGCAAACAACGTATAGTTAATAGCTCGTTTAGGCCTAACAGCAACGGTACAGCCCAAACCCACAGCTCACTTAAGCACAGCCAGCGCTGACAGTGTGGGAAACACGGCTGGTGACCAGTACAGATTCAGCTCTCAGACACGAAGACAGAGAACAGCCAAAAGCACACGCCGTGAAGACAGCGAGCGGGCCACTGAAATCAAGTTTCTGGAGTCTTCTTGCGGCCAGCAAAATGTTTAGTCTTTGTTCTGGAAGGTCTCATGGAGAGCACACCTTTACTTACAGCTGCCAGCAATCATTCACATTTAATGAGTTTCACTGAGCATGGTTTTTGTATGTTTTCCATCAGTAAGGTAATTATATAACTGTCTTTAGTAATATACAGGTATCATTCAAATGTAAGAATAAAATTTTTAATAAAACGCCATTAATTTCTGCATAATCTTACGAAAAGTTTCACAAAACTGATTTGTAAACAGAACAAGTTACAAAAATACAGGAGAAATATTTAAATCAGACTTCATAGTATATGATTATATTAACATTATATTTAATTGTAGTAACATTATATAGTATTTTAACTACATACTCACACTCCTACTGATAACTTATTTACTAATAAACATATCAACTTGTACACATCCTGGACAGTAAAACTATTCATTCCATCAACAACAGCAAAATATACCTATAAAACTTGAAGTAAAAAACTGAGGTATACCTCAAAATTATTCTCTAGCTTCACCCAGCCGTGGTCCCGGGAGCCGTGATGTTTCTGGTAGGACTGCTCCAGCAGGAGGATCTGCTTTTGACTAAAAGGCTTCCATTTATGTTTTGGTTTCATTTCCCAGACAACACCAGAACTAAAATAATTCACCAAGAAAATTAAATTAGAAACACAGATTAAAATTTGTGGACCTGTCGTTCAACTCCAGATTAGTACAACTACTAACTTCCTATAAAAATTAAATTGATAGACTCCCACCACCACAGTTCCCAGGTGAAACTTGGGAGAGAGTCAGGTGTTTCCCATCTACTTCCTGGGGGCAGAGCGGGTGACCCAGGACCCTGCCACCATTACAGTCTGAGTCTCTGCCCTCCATGCACCTACAGCAGACAGGAATTCCTCACTCAGAAGCCCTGGGGACTGCTCTCACTGGGGTTCGTATGTGGGCCCTCCCTGAGTGGGCACTGTGCCGAGTGAGTGAGTGCTCCAAGAGCAGCTTGTCCTAAGGTTCAAGTCGGTGCTTTACTTGTGCCCGGACCCCCTTGGGGGGTCGCAGACACCAGCACTCTGTGACTGCTGTTGGTCCGGCCCATATGTGGTTCCTGTATGTGTCCTGAACTGACTGGAGACACAAAATCTGGTGGTTCACAATCTGTAGACCCTGTAGTTTGTGTCTGGGTTTTGCCTGTACCCTAAACTGCCTGGGGATGTAGGTCCCCTGGACCGGGATTGTCACACCAGTACAACCCGAGTCTGGGCCGTGAACATGCACTGAACTGCAAGGGGAGGCTGGATCAGATGGTCTGCCATCAGCTGACACCAATGCCTGCGTCTGAGACCTGGGATAACTAGATACAAATCAGCAACTGCCGGAAAACCCTAGACTAAGTAAAGTTTCTCAGCAGACACTGAGGGAATAACCTGACCAACAGGAAAACTAGGGACACTAGCAGCCTTTGCTGTGCAGCCACTGAAGATGGAAACTGAGCTTTCTAAATCCAGCAGCAAACATGACAAAACGAAGGGCTAAAACACAATCCCAGAACTCCACCCCACTCAGAACAAGTCC